TGTGAACAACTCGTATAAACATGGCGGCACCATGGCACTCGGCACCATACGATAATCTCGATGGAAACACACACACACATAATGCACGCCACGCACGCACGCTAAGGCAAACGGGCGCTTGCACGGCACACACACCGGATATATGGTAAACATTACAATGCCTCACCTGTGCGACCCAATGTACAACTTGATTTATGCGCCGTCACCCGTATTGCTCACCAGCAGTCTGGACGAGGTAACGTCCCCCATTGGCTGTGCTCTGCGCATCGAGAAGAGGGCAGCGCGACCGGGCCAGCCGCGGGCGTCGCGGACGATCCCAGGTCGCGCTCCAGCGCCGGGTCGCTTCAGCGTAGTACGGACACGAACGAGAGCCCCGGGTGCGGACGACCAACATCCGCACGCGAAGATGTGTGCTGCCCCCAGGAAACTGCTTTACAGCAGCTGCCGCGCGAAGCGCTACGGCGCTGGCTACGGTGCCGCTCATTGTCGCCACACGTGCGCTGACAGCCTAGTAACACACACGGATGCGCGCCCGGTCACGGACAAACAGGATGAGATGGGATGGGATGGGAGGAGATGGAAGAGAATAGGATAGAATAGGGTAGGATACGGTATATTAGCTTTAAATAAGCCTAGGATAGGGGAAGTTAGCGTTGGATAGGAAATAGTATAAACTAGGAGCGTGGTGGTGTTTCCGTGCTGTCACACTGCTTGTTATAAATAAACTGTGAATGAACTATTATTTTATCAGCCGACAGCGACGTGATAGAGACGATACAATGACCCTGGCTCCTTTGCGCGTGTATGGATATACAAATGTTAGGTGGGTCATCCTAGGACATCTGATAACTTCACATTCAGCCAATGACGAAGAGTGTCGGTGATGACGTTTACTACGTCACGTTCATTCGCGTTGAGTTTATCTCATCTGTATGTCACACTATATCCTTCTATGCAAATTGAACTTCGAGCAAATACCGCCAATATGGCCGGCCTCGGTTTTGATGACGTCACATGCAAGGGGGTCTATATGCATACATATGCACATACACATTTGTTCATGTACATGCGTTCGTTTCATTATAGCTACAGTAGCGTGTATTCTGTCACGGGCATTTTACTATACCATGCCATCATCTATAAAGTAACATTGACTATAACAGCAGCGTAATGCGTTAGTAAATCTTGAACCCTTCACCCATCCCGAAATGGACGTGACTCTTTGCATCGTCTTGGGGGAGAGATAGTGATCCGCTAGATGGCGCATTATTAGTGTGTTGTGGATATAGAAATCAGTTAACCCTAACCCTAACCCTAACCCTAATCTTAACCCCAATCCTAACCTTAACCCTAATTCTGAAATAAAACAAAATTAGCCAAAAATAATAAAAATAAATAAGAGACAAAATTAGCCAATCAGATCCGTCCCCTAGCGGATCACTATCTCTCCCTTTTTTGAAAATTTTCTTGGGCGGGACTGCCTTGCATAGACTTACCCCCGACACACACACACACACACACACACACACACACACACACACACACACACACACACACACACACACACTGCTATCGCTGTGTACACTAGCATTCTAACCAGGCACTA